CATCTTTTTTTCAACTATTATAAGACCTAACTGGTCATGATATTGATAAAATATAATAAAATCAGAATACTAATAATAATTGTTAGTTGTAACCTTACTCCTTTTGTATAAGAGAATAAAAGAATTTAGATCTATTAAAATTGAGCCTGCAAAGAAATACAACAGTGAGACTTTTCTTTTCACACACATTCCATCATCCAAATAAAAGGGCCTCATTGTCCTGAGAAGCAGAAGCTGCACTTGTAATTCGGACTGGCTGACCTTCGTAATCCTCGCTTTGTTTAACACATAAAGTGAGCCATGCCCATACTACACGATGGACCTCCCCACCGAGTCAGTGAATGAGCTATTTTTACCCATCACCCTCTTTCTCAGGAATGTTTTCAATTTTCAGACGTGCCAAAATGCTCAGCCCATTGCAAGCAGAGTGTGGAATAAAATATCCAGTTCCATTCAGTGATATCTCAGCAGTGTTGGCGCAGGTCCAGGCTGAGCGCACAATATTGGCCATTTTCACCCCTGGAGACAACTCTGGAATGTGTTTTCTGAATGGACAACACTGGCTCTAATATGTCAAAAGTCACAACTGCAGGTCACATGGTTCTGGGACACAGTTTATTCCATCAATGTAATTATTTTCTATTTTGATGAATTGCAAATGTGGGACTCAAATTCTGATTGTTTAAATCTGGCTCAGAGCGGAATCAGATTTTCTCTTAAGGCCTCAAGAGATTCCTGGTAAATAAGGAAGTGACACAGGTTTGAGCAATACACAGAGGCAGAGCTAAGGGTTCATTAGCTTTATGAACCTTATTTTTGCTAAATCAAACACAAGACATAGTAACTGGAAGGACAAACATAACCAAGATGTGCTCGTAAGACCATGAATTTCCAAAGACATATGCGATTTAAGAAAGACTTGTTTAGATTGATTCTCTGAACAGATCATGTCAAATGGAATCCAGCAAATCTAATTAACCATGAAAGCTTAGGGTGTGGAGAGGAGGGAAGGAAGGAAGATGAGAAGAGAGGAAAAAGGGGAAAGGAAGTTTGAGAGATAAAGTCTGTGCCAGAAAAAGAGGTTACACACAGCCCACCCTGGCTGGAACCTGAACAGAGAATTATTCACTTTTCTTGGAATAAGGGCCAGACAGGTTAAAACATGAACAGATTAAGCAAACAGTTGCATTTCTTATGTGTACACCCACGCAATGATACAACAGATACAATTGTTCACATCCTCGTTTAAAACAATTACAGCCATCCTTACTCGTAGAGGTAGAGAAAGAAAATATACAATTACCCCACCCTCTTGGTTACCAGTGACTGCTTAAGGAAATGGACTGATTCATATCCTAAAAGCACCAACATCCCTATTTCCAGTGATTATTTTGGTCCGGTATTTTATACCACTGTGGATGAGGCAAGATTTCAGACATGTATTATTGTGGAACCATTGAATGGCACCAGACTACACTTGAAATGTGGTAATGAGGCATTGACTCAAAGGAAGATCTTTGGCATAAACTATGTTGGACTTTCATCTACCACCTAGATGGTAAAATGAGGAAAGGTGTGGACTATGAAGACACTAAATAAATCTTGAATAAAACAAAGTAAAAGATCAAAGAAACAGCATGAAAATTGAGAGCAGCATAATGGCATGCTTTTTAACCTCGCTAATGTAAACAGAAAGTTCCTCATAGCGTGAGTTAAACTATTGTGAATCAAAGAAATCAGGAGATAAAGATTCTCAAAGGCTTTTCCGAGCATAATATTCATGCTCTGATATTTTTTACACTGTTGAAGAACTTTGATCCTGAGATCTTAGAAGTTCTTCCTAGGAGGAAACAGTTTTCATAATTCAAAGGCCCCACACAGAGCTCCTGCTGAAACTATGAAATACAAGGCTACAGGGATGGATGTTAAATATGAGCATGTGTGATTCTCAAATAGCCACTTAAGATATATATTCAGTTATACTTTCCACAGTAAAATTGTGTACCTAAAGACACAGTGAACTAAGATAGTAAAAAAAAATTACTGCTGAAAAGAAAACTTTCTTCAGAACATTTTTCTCTTTACTCTAGTTTTTGGCTCCAAGAACGGCAACCATTATTACATATTATATATATATATATATATATATATATATATATATATATATATATATATACACAATATGTAATAATATTCCTGATTCCCTGACTTCACAATTTTCTTGTTTTGACTGAAATGTCAAAATAACTATTGGATGGACTGTCATGACATGTGTAACAGACATTCATGTCACCCTCAGGATGAATTATAAATAACATTGGTGATCTTTTCGCCTAGTGCAACATCCAGTTGAAATTTTAATTTGTCCAATAACACTGAATATTTTAGAGTCAGCCAATTTTATCTGCCAATATTGGCCTATCACAGATATATCGGTATCAGCACATACATTCTCCAATATGTGCTGATATGAATACTTTTATTAAGAAGCAATAATCCAGTGGAAATACTCAGGTCAAGTCAAGTTATATAGGGAGCATTTTATACATATTTGATCCTTTGTTTTTTATTTAAAAAACTAATGACACTATATTTGTGTTTAGTGCTAATTAGCAAATGTTATCATGCTAACATACTAATCTAAGATGGTGAACATGGTAAACATTGCCTGCTTCACATCAGCAAATTAGCATTATCATTGCCAGCAACAGCACACTGTTAGCAGCTCCTGGTAACCATATTAATATGCCTATTTATCTAAATGTGAACTGTGACACTACTGAAACAGCATAGAAACCAGAAAGGCCAGAAATAGCTAAATGTTTAATAAATATATTCAACTGAAAGCTCATTTACAGTGAGTTGATTGACAAGAATGGTAGTTCATTTTCACTGATAAAGGTCTTGTCTCTCTGTGCTCCTGTACAGGTTTTGTGCTGGTGATTGGACTTGTGACCTTCTACAGGATCGGGCCCTACACACACCTTTCCTACTCCTGCTACTTGGACATAACTGCTTGCCTGCTGGCCACTCTGGCTGCAGCCATGCTTATCTGGAACATTTTACACCGCCGTGATGACTGCCTTGCACCTCGAGTTATAATCATCAGTCGCTCACTGGCAACACCTTTCCACCCTCGTCTAGACAATGACTACGTGGAGTCACCTTGTTGAGCCATGTGACCTCAAGAGCCAAGCCAATGAGGAGTGAAAGACTGCACTGACAGGACTGTGCACTCAACTATTCATGTTTTACTCCAGCTGGTGCCTCCAATGTGACTCTCAAGAGAAGAGGACATTCCCGTGGCTCCACAATGGCTGGCCTAACATGTACCTGCTATTGTACTCCATATTTCACAACTCCTCCCACCATAAACAAAGATATCAGAACAATTTTGCTGCTTGGTGCACAAAAGTCACACATTTAAGATTTAAAATTACTGTATAAAGCAGCCCTAAACATATTCAAATACTGTATGATGTTTCATTTATTCATGCTTGGGTATGCTAATTGGTAGCTAAACATGGAATTTGGACTAGGAATGTCTCATATGAAACAGCCTTCTTATGAAAAGATCAAGCTGGAACTTGACCTATTTTGTTATATGTGCACTTATTAAATGGCCTCCTGCATAATTATAAATTGGAAATGAATGAAAGATGTTGAAAATATAATACCAGAATACCTCATATTTGTTTTCATCATTTTAAGGCTTATTACAATTTTAATACATATTAATGTAAATGATATATGTTGCAAGTAAGTAGGTAAACTAACAAGGCAAAAGCAGAAGAGTCAATCAACCTCAGCAAACCGTTTGATCGGGCTTATCCTAATCAGTGGCAATATTTAATTTTAAAACAGCCAATGAGAGGTGGTATTTGGATCAAATTAACATGTATCTGCTCAAAGACATCAGGGAAAATTCTCATGATGACATAAATATTTCTCCTCTTGAAAAAAAGGAAAATAAAAGACAGGTGACTTGCCAATTGATGTATGCGAATTGATTTGGAATTTTTAAGCAGTATTTGTTAAATTGATGGTAACACATGTTTTGGCGATGTACTGCATTTTGAAATGACAAACACATTTCAATACTTACATTCATTTTTCGTGATGCTTTCCATATGAAACTCTGCTCGCTTGTGGTACATACTGTATACCTAAATTAATATAATACAGTTGTGTAAAGGATAGTGGTATCATTAGTAGTATTATTGTGACCATATCATACTTCTGCAAAGAACTGTGGGTCTTTCATGTTGCCAAACATAGGGGCACATTAAAATAATAATATATCATATAAATTCAATAAATTTATTGGTAAATATTCAAACACAATGGTTGCTGCTGTTGCTGATTTGGTGTCAACACTACACCTGAAAATGGAAAATACAGAACTTCATTAAATATATTTTTCAAATATGTTATCACAGACATGCGTTCCCAATGAATCTCCATGCTTAACCCTCAAGATCTGTAAGGAGTCCATATGGACTGCCATTTGATAGTATTAGTTATCAGTTTAGAGGTGCAGCATACAGTACAAAGCAAGTGAGAGAATAAGAAAAAGTGCTACACATACTGTATATTGCTTTAGGTGATCTGTGCTACAACTATTGAACCCCAAAGATACAAAGGACTATGTTCAGTGTGACATATTTCAAAACTGATCTAGATTAAGTATCAGTGAGAGCACTAGATGAATAATTTTGAATTCCAACCCTCCATCATTATAAGTAAACTGACCCAAATGTGCTGAGTGAATGATGATACAAATACTACCACTGTCTATATTTTGATGATGATGGTATGAAATGATGGTACTAGTTTCTTTGAAGAATGACTTTTTAACAATGGAGAAGAACTGTAATGGTGAATTCCATACTTTCCAATGATAAATGACATAAACTGAGAGCATGACAGTTACATGAATCACAGCCAATTATAATGACTGCAACATCATACATGAGTCTCTGCTTCACCCCGAACACTTCCTCGGGTGTTTCTGTTCCTGATGAGAAGGGGGAGTTTTGCTTTTAAATACCAAATGCAGTGGCAAAAAGACATTAAGAGAGGGCTTACATTCATATGGGCAGATAACTATGCAGCATGTCACCTAAAGTCAAGGACAACATGAATGAGAGGAAGCAGCACAGTCTGGACTGAACAAAGATGTTCCAGTCTGTATCTGACTTGCTGCTTTAGGAGGCAGAGGCGTTTTCACACTGAGAAATACTGTTTTGGATAAAGTGATTTAATACTACTTTATTCAGAACATCCAGGGACGAGGCGAATAAAGCCCAACAGAAATTGAGCTCTTAAGCCTTTTCTGATACAGACTTCCCAACACTCCCAGCTTTCATCAACAGAGTGAGGTAGTGGATTTTGTTGTTCACACATACACAAATTACTTACATGTCTGTGATTTGGGTTTAACTGACTCTTTAAGATACATGTGTGAAACGGGTGTATTGTCTCTAGTGTCTCCAACAGATACTTTTATTATATGACCTTAAATACGTGAATTGGATGAAATGAGCTTGACTCCTGGATCACTAGCCAGTCTAAGACTTAAGTATGAGAACCTTTGTCCATTCAAAGATCTGCACCATAGAGACAGGTCCCAGAAGATACAGGTTACTGCTGCAGGAAATATATATTCCTGTGGGTGGAGATTTGCGGGAATCGAACACAATACCGATCTCTAAAAAAAAAAGTAGCAGCAGTAAAAATAGCCATCAATGAGGAACTTAGTAAAGCTGTCATCAGGCCTCTTAAACTCTTTGGAATATCCGGCCAATGGGATATGTTATTTTCCCATTTGTTTGTTTTTATGCTATTTTCCCATTTGAGTAATGTTTGTACGTGCAAAAGCAACACAACCGCAGAATTCAGCCCGAGTGCCCGGAATCACGTATTCTGCTAAAGATAATATCATATCTTTGATGAAATCACATGTGCATTTCACCATGACACATATACAGGAATGGACACGCACATCCTTTTCGTGACCTGATTTGAAGTTCGCAAGAATTGAGAGGGCACTCCTTTTGGACCAAACTGGCAGGGGGACCTCATGTGTGTGTGTGTGTGAGTCGCAGTGTGTTTAGAAAAGTACATCCCCTCAGCACACACCCGCACACTAACTGAAACAGTCACATATATACACATTGAAAGGTTCCTTCCCTCAGCATAGACACAGAAAAAGTCCTTAATCATGTCCTGTGTTTAAAAATCTATTTCATGTTCTTAGATAAATGAATAAAAAGTTTGACTTTAGTGGATCTAATTTGATCAATAATACACTTAGAAGAAAACCTTTGAGCTTAGACCAACATATTATTAAATGAAACATATAAGCATTTCAAATTTATTACCCTTTCCAAAGGCAGATAGGGTCTGGCATCTTCCTTCACTGATCTTTCAAGTGACTGGCTTAAAATGCTTATATTGCTTAGAGACAAGTAAGACCTTTAAAGAAAATAACAAAATAGATAGTGTTGCCTCCCATGACCACCCCTCAGACTTAAAGAAAGAATATCAAAGTTAAGGTTACAGACTTATTGTGGCAGTTTTATCTGAGCAGTCAAATGTGTTGAGTGAAATGAGAGGTGAAGAAAAGCAAGGGGCAACAATACCCCATTCTCATCACAAGTCAAAAGCACTTCAGAGAATAGTCAAGGCTGTAGCAACAATGCTTTCCCCCTGGCCATCACTTGGCTTTGAACTAAAGCCCCTGTAGAAAGGACAGTTGGGGGATGTGATGACATGGATCAAACAGGGGATGTGCCAACAGTGGGCATGTCATTCTGCATGTCTCCTCTCTTAAAAGACATCATTGAGTTGATACATGCAATGATGACATGCACATATTGATGCCCTACCTTTTGATGAGCTTGATAGACTTGAAGGCTTCATCCATATCACCGATTGTCAGGTAGAAGCTGAAGTTGAGCATGGCATCACGGGTGGCCTTCTCACAGTTCTCCAGGCCCACAAAGTCCCTGAGAGCTCGTCTGGACACCATAGGAGGGAACTTGGCAGGCGTCCCTCTTGACGGCTGGGTCTGGTGTGGAGGTGCTGATGTTGTGGCTGAAACCTCTGTTGAACCTGGATCCCTCTCACCAGGCTGAGGAGGGTTAGAACATCATGATGTCAATATTGGTAACATGTGATTCAGAGCCAGTAATAAATGAAGCATGTTCTGAAGTGGGATCACAAAAATGTAAAATAGGAATGGGGAGGGTACAAAGCAAACCAAACATCAACCAAAACACCACAGACCAAATCTATTCGTCAAGACAAGCATTAGGAAACAGACACAGATTAGTGAGCTCTCAATATTTCAGGGAAGCTCTTATGCTGCTGATCCTGGGGAGCCAGTATTTTTTACTTTTGCTTCAATGCAGCACAAGGCATACACGATCACAGTGGTTGGAAGTTGGGAGCCAAGAATACTCAAAGCTTTCTGAATCAACTGTAGGGGACAGATACTTACTTCTGGTCGAAAGACACCACCCCTCCAAAACAATAGCTGGGGTGTGTTAGACCAAACGCACAGTGTTTCACATAAGAACAGTGGTGAGTGCATACAAAAACACAAGGAATATGTTTAAGAAAACTCAAGATCTGAAACAGATATTCTTCAACTTTCTAGAGAGAAGCCCCACATGCTGTATCAGAAACCCCCCACTGAAGAGACCACACGCATGTAGAATAGTGTTCTCTGTACTCACCTTGCAGCTGAAATAATAAAAGGGCACATCCAGAGCGAGAAGGGCCTGCAGGCCTGTCGGTTTGGGGTAGCAGTCCTGTAGGAGTAAACCATGCTCCTGCGTACAGAAGAGTGTCACCACTGACATGTCCACCTAAACAGAATGAAGACAACGCAATGTCAAGCTACTTCACATTTACTGTAAGTTTATTAAAATCATTTAAACAAGTAATCACATTCTGACTGGCTGTCTAAGATAAATGAATGAATCAAAATTTATATTGCCTCTTGGTTCTCACTTGTACCCGAAAGGGCTGTATAGTAGTGTGTGTATATTTTTTTTTAGCACAGGTCGTACCAGGGGACATCAGTCAGCAGCTTTAGTGCCAAGCCTTGCTCACAGAGCTGTACAGGACAATGTCAATGGTAAACAACAGTCTTTACCATATCCAAGTAACTAGCAGATGATGATTCAGAGCTTATCGGCACCGTCTCACAAACAAAAAGACGAGGTTCGCTCTCATCCCAGAAGTGAGATACAGGGCACCGACCACTGAGCTCTGTCCCCTGAAACTGCTGCCTGAAATACAGATAAGGAAATATGGAGTATAAAACAACCAGAGGAGAAAAACTCTACATGGGAAGAATACAGATACAGACCAAAGCGACAAAATTTACCTTTCACCGTCGTCAGGATGTGAGATACCGCTTGACGGTCTGCCAATGAAGAAGTCGAAATGTGTCACAGTGTCCATCTCAACGTCATAAAAGTACACTTTGTGATCAGGTCGCCCATTAACCTGAGAGGAGAGAGTTATATTCAGTTAAGAGAGATATTAAAATGAAATGGTGGCATTTTAAGATTCTGAAAGTAAGTGTAAAATACTGGTGGCGTTAATCAAAAATATTTTTGTCAGCTTTTATAAACCAATATTCAAAAAGTAGAGTGTGACTGTTGTATTTTGTCCATTCACCTGAGAGATTAGGATGCTGACTTGGCTGCCATTGGCGTTACACTTGATTGACCTCAAGGCTCCCAGACTAGCAATCTGGTCAGCCAGGTTCTTAGCACTGCAGTGAGCTTTGGCATCTCTTTAAAGACATACAGTGAGACTGGTATTGTTGGACAAGAAAAGACTTTGAAAAGATAAATTATTAATGAACAGAAATTCACAATACATGGAAGCTAGCTGGCCTTCATTATACTACTTTTTTAACAAAGGGAAGTGACACCGACATCCACATTAACGTCATACCTTCGGGAGAGGTCAAAGACTCTGATGTGTGCTGTGTCTGTGCCCACAACCAGGTAAGACTGACACACACTGAGTAGGACAGGGTTGCCCTCTGCCTTGGAGAAAGTAAGCAGTTGCTTCACGGTGCCCTTAAGAGAGGAAAAACAATGGTTCAACAATGAACCAGATTCATGGTGACAAATACCACTTGCATGCGTGTTTATACTTTTTAAAAATCAATTCTAATTCAGCACTAAAAGAACAGTTTCAGAGAGGCCTTCTCAACATGCACACTCAAACGCTGTGTCAATGAGAATACTGGATAATGGATTCCAGGTTGGGCAAACAGACCTGTGGTGTGCGAATCTGAACCCTGTTAGGTTCCACTGTGTAGAGGTTCTCACCATGTACAGCTACTACATGGGAGTCACAAGGAAACGATCCTGGAAAATCAGCACGAGAGGAGGTAGAGAGAGAAGAGAAAGAGAAAGGAAAAGAATCAGATGACAAAGTAAGGGTGAGATGAAGGACACGGAAATCATGACAGTGTCACTCTGTTGTACCTGTATTGCGTAGAACTGTCCCTGAAACCTCATACACAGTGACCTGCTTGCCACTCCACACTGTCACTGAGTCCTGTTGGTATGACAACAGACAAGCAGTTACCATAATATCGGTTTAAATTTTTACTTGTTTTCATGAGCTAACCTTTGTAGTGATCAATTCAACATGTACATCCCTTCCATACTTACCTTGGTCACACACACTCCCTTGATGTGTATGTCAGACTGCAGAGCAAGGTTCACTCCTGTGGTGAACTGAGCAATGCTGAGCTGGGTTGGGGTAAGCTGCACTGCTGCCACCTGCTGGCTGAAGTGGGCTGACATCACATGCTCACAAAGGATCAGGACTGTGTTTGAGTTGTTGGCTGCCAGCAGATTAATGCTGGAGCCCCACTGAAATGGAAGGTCTGAGTGAACTTTCCCAGCAGAATACTATACATATGATGAATATCATTATTATATTCATGGTATGTGACTGATATTCATTTATAATAATAGAGCAGTTGTGTATAAATGCTGGCCTAGACAGTACCTGTAGCTGAGTGACATTTCCCTGTATTTCAGTGGGTGTCTGTAGCTTCCACTGCACCTTGGTGTCACCTTTGCTACCAACTGGCTGCGCCACCATCCTCCACAATGCGATGCGCCCATGGCTTGTGCCAGCTGCCAGGATTTCTGAGAAGGCCGCAATGTTATACAAAGGCAATAAGGATTTGTGAGTATGAAATAAGTCTGTAAAGCACGAGTTATCAGTGTGGTATGTGTAATCACTCTACTCAGGATTTGAGAATGTAATGAAATAAAGCTGGAAATTAGCAGATCCACCAGTGAAGAAAAAACAGCACTTTATACTCTACATTTTGCACTATAGGACAAATAATTTCCAGTTACCTTTTCCTGTACAGTATGAAACACAGTTGATCAGCTCTCCTCTCTCAAACCCCAGTCTTTCGTCCAGTGACAAAACATAGTTGTCATCTCGCTCTAGGTCCCACAGCCTATGAAAACAGA